CTATGCACAGAAACGATTGTACATAAGTGAAAAGGATGTTTTATACTATTGGGGTTAACATTTATCAAGTGTACGTATAATCTCCAGTGTACATGTTAAACATATTTTGCTATCGACTGTAAATTGTGACTGAATAATATGGTCCTATTTCTGTAACAGTTTGATGATGCCTGTAAACTGGCGTCCCTCATGTACTGCATCATGAGAATAAATTTATGTATTTATTTATGATGAGATACAAGGGGAGAGTTGTGAATGAAGAGCGTGGTGGTGCGAGTCAGATAAAATGGATTTTGCCCATTTTTCACATGAGTCCATATGCCTGTCCACCAGAATATTAACAAGCTGGCTAAGTGGCAAACTGCTTACCCTGCTGACAACCTTTAACATCCTACGTAATAAGGTATAGTCTTTCTTCAGTAGCCCTGGAAAAACTAAAGGGGGGCAATAGAGAACAATAGGCAGATTACGGGAGTTAACGAATTGTAGGAGTAAGGGTCTGGTTATACCAGAATGTCTTAACTTCTTGATGCAGAAGGTAAGACAGAATATTTTATTAGAAATCGTCAAGATATGAGACAACCAGGAAAGATCAGCAGATAGAATGACGCCTAGGCATTTAATTTCTGACTTGGTTTCTCTTTCAGTGCCATCTATGTCGCACACCTGGTGAGTGCTAACCAGTTTGTTTAGGTCAGATTTATGCCTAAAGGTGAAACTGACTGTTTGGCATTTGGAAGTTTTAAGGTTAGGCCGTTTTCTTTGGACCACTGGCTGATTTATGATAAAAAGGCGTTTATTTTGATTGGACACTAGTAACTAGTGTGATGCGTCTAGTCCTCTGATTGGTGCAAACTGAATTCTATCAGTCAGGTTGTAATGTGACCACCATTCTAGCTAGCTGGCCATCACGGTATTTATTGATTTGATGGTGTTAGATGGTTGGAGGCAATCGACAGGAAGCCTTGGACCTAGGTTTCGTGCTAGTTGACTGATAGAATTCAGTCTGCACCAGTCAGAGGACTAGACGCATCACATTAGTTACTATTGTCAAATCAAAATATCCACTACAGTCCTACAGGAGGTCAATCGGGGCCCGAATAGCTCAGTGGTAACGTCTCTGACTGCAGCACTGGGTGACGCGGGTTCGAATCTCAGAAGGGACACGAGTTCCTTCAAGGTTGCAGATACGCCTTGCTGACGAGTGCCAACTAGCACGAAACCTATTTTTTTTTTTTTTTTTGATTACAACTTGATTCAACACTGTATTTTTTGGTACAGGTATGGAATTTTCAGCATGGATATCGGTGGCCCAAATTTCGCAGGCCGACCATAGATATCAGATGTGCGTCGGCGTGGGCTCGAACCCTGGACCATGTGCATGGTTGGCGAGAGTCCTAACCACTGTGCCACCGACGCACAACCTAGGTCCAAGGCTTCCTGCCGATTGCCTCCAACCATCTTATACCATCAAAAAAGCCGTTTAGTTTAGAGCAGTCACTTTGACATTTGACAGGCAAAGATACAGTTAGGTCTTCAGCATATTTGACAAAATTAGTGTAATTTGAAGATGGTAGGTCATGTAGAATGAAAGAAAAGAGAAGTGGGGAGAGTACAGCACCTTGGGGGACACCAGCTTTAGTGAGCACAGCAGAGGAGGATTTGCCTTTGATATACGGTGTAGTGCATTCTGTTTGAAAAGTAGGAATGCAACCAGTTAGTGACCCAGGACTCAGTTTGTGTCATGGAGAGCTTATTTAGCAAGAGACATCTAGGTACAGAGTCGAAAGCAGAAGTGAAGTCAAGAAACGTGCAGCGGACATATTTGGCACCTTTATCTAATGATGAGACGATACTGTTGTGTAAGACGGCTGCAGCGTTTAAAGTACTCCTAGCCTGTCTGTAGGCAAATTGTTTGGGGTCTTCGAAGCTTTTAAGGGAGGGTTCGAGTTTAAGAAGTACTAGTTTTTCCATAAGCTTTAGAAACGGGGAAGTGATGGCAATGGGTCTGAACTTTACGTTCTTGCTATTGCCAGGTTTAGGGACAGGGACTATTTTAATGTCTTTCCATGGAACAGGTACAACGTTTTCGGAGAAAGAAGCATTTAGGATATTAGTTAGAGGAGAACATAAAGCATCTGCACATTGTTTTAGAACATATGCAGGTATGCCATCAGGGCCAAGACTATGTGAGGGCTTAAGAGTTTTAAGACATTTTAAAACATCAAGAGTGTTAAAGTCCTGGAGATTATCAGCTACATGACTAGTAATGTTAGAAGTAATTTTAGTAGAAGGAGAGCGTATAAAAGACAGATTAAGAGCATTAACATCACAAGAGGGAAAAAAATTACATCGCTTACTATTGCCAGTAATTTCATTGAAAAGTTTCCACATGCTGATAGGAGATTTGCATGATAAAAGTGTTTGGTTATAGATAGCATTAAGATTTTTGATTTCAGATTTGATTTGAGCATTAATCTTTTTAAGTCCTAACTTATCTTTGCGTTTATATAACATTTCCTTTTGCCTGCGAAGTTGTTTGAGATGGGGAGACGAGAAGCGGTCGAGGCGTTTGAACAGTGTTTGTTCGGAACAGCATATGTCGAGGCAGAACTTGAGATAGTATATTATATTGGTGATTGAGTCATCTAATGTACTTTCATAGAATAAATCCCAGTTAGTATTTTTTAACATGCATCTTAGATTGAGTAGGCTGTCAGATGTGTAGCATCTTTGTTGTGCTTTCGTAGACAGGTGTGAGAAGACTTTATTATGTGTTTTGCTGTATATTTTTGGTAAAACTCGGACAATGCAGTGATCTGAGTTTAGTATCGGTGAACGTCTACGTGTTTCATATACTCCTTCGTCATTAGTAAAAACTAGATCGAGTGTTTTGTCAAGTCGAGTGGGAAATTTGATTATGTTTGTGTGACGAAGTGCTTCAAGAAAAGAGCAATCTGAGAAGTTGAAATCTCCAGTAATAACGGATAGAGAGTTGTCGAAGTTGGCAGCAGCAAACATGGTGAATTCGTCAGCAAAACTAGACAGATCAGATGGAGAGCAACTAGTAGAAATGTACATGTTTTTAACATAGATTTGTTTATATTTGGGGAGATGTTTGGGACGACATTTAACAGTAATACGGTCAATGAAGTCATTTGAGAAGGTGAAGCAGACATTATTAGAAACAGACCATTTGGAGTGAATAAAAGCTGCAACTCCACCACCATTTTTCTTATTACAACACTGACGGTCTTGTCGAAATAAAATAAAGTCCTTTAGTGAGATAAGATTGTCATCATACAGTTCATGCAACCACGTTTCTTGTAATGTGATTATGGCGGTATTATGATACGTATCAGTGGACATCAAGGATTGTAGGTACATTATCTTGTTTGGCAGAGAGCGGCAGTTTGTGTTCATTATGACAGGGATCGTAGTTAAGTGTATTGGTGTACGTTTGAGAGCTCTCTGCCAACCGCTACGATGTTTCCTCCTTGGTTTCTTTAGAATGTGAAAGTCATTTGGTCGTAGATGATTGATAAAGTTACGAGAGTAAGTGATTCTGTTAAAATTCATATTTAGGCGATAAATAAATGTTGGTAAACAGTAGACTGGATGCGAAATGTAGATATTATAGTAGCTGGCCTAAAAATTCGAACAGGCCGCCAAGGTCAGGGTCCCCAATATAACTTAGGTGTGTACAAAATCGAATCTTATTCTTGATTTATATCCGAATTTGGTAATAATTAAAATAAGTGATACACTTGTATTGTTTTGTCAGCATTTTCATCGTAACATTACGAGTGAATTATACTCAGTGTAGAATAATATTATTAATAGTATATATTTTCTCATACATAGGTGTTTCCAAGAAAAAAAGCTATTTTTACAGATACGATCAGCTATGTTATAAGTTACAATCTTGGCGCTGTATTATAAATTATTACTTTTCCATTGGTACAAGAGTATATTCCACAAATGTGATCCAGGTTGCGTCGTGGAGGAAGGTAATAAGTAATTCACGAAGGAATTGTAAGATATGGTGTCAATCACGTCTCATAAACCGTTAATGCCCAGCTCTCGCTACGCTCGGGCCCACGCTGTTCTTCGAAGATTTCGGAAACGCTTAGTTATAACGGACGCAAAAACCAAAACACCGATTGGCCGCTTGAGATTTGTTTATTGTTACACCAAAATATAAAAAGAATAAGTGAACTAAGGTCTGAAAACAAATATTACAATAATAAATCATTGTATTACTTCTGACGATGTTTCACTCTTCTTTCTGAACAGCCAACGATGAGACGATGACTGTCGTATTGATGCCTCCGCGAAAATTGGGGAAGTTGATTTTAAGCAAACAACCAAGAATTGATCGTTCAATATTCAACTACATTGACACTCCCCGGCAAAAAAGGGATCCAACCCTTTTTTCCTTCATGACCAATACACGTTGACTTGGATGCCATTGCGAGAACCTGGGTCACACGGACAGAGCTGAAATGGAAAACAAACAGAAAAGCCAACACACCACAAGCATACCCACAGCACAATCTCACACATCGCTGACGACCTGCGCCTCCAGACAGAGACCTCCTCTTGACATCTTGCAACACAATCGCCACTTCCTAGAATGACTCTTGCAGAATGCAACGTGACCATAGCACCAACTCATGATACTCTACGCACATCCTCTTTTCTACTCATTACCAATTACCACTGAAATCGCTTGTCACTCATTCTGCCTCAGTTCTAGTAGCGGTGACGCATGCGAGCCTCAGTCGTTTACACTCTTTCTCCCTGGCGTGTGAGACCGCAGCTAACAATTATCTCCGTGTGCATTTCATTCTCAGCAATAGCATAGCCTCCCCAGCGTATACGACCCATCTGCTGTTCTTAACATCAATCAATTCATTCATGGATGTAGAAGACTCGAAACAACTTCAGAAATAATCACGACGAAAATTTTAACAAATTTACTCTGTATCGCGGTACGTTCAACGTTTGCGTTACATTTTTACGTGATTCGTTACATAAAATTTATCTTGTTGTAGTACTTGCACAAGTACTATACTACTTCCATACTTGTAACCACTAACTTCCATTTCTAATAGTTATGGTTAATCAAAGTAAAAAGCAACGAACCCAATCCCCTGTAAAACTGGTGTCTAATTTAACGTCCTTGATTGCTACATCAAGCAACACACCCCCAACAAACGGCTATAGTGAGTCACATAACTCACGTGTATGCCGTAAGCGTCGAGCTGAAACTGAGGATAAAACTGTACTGACAGCCAGTATTAGCACTACTCCTAAAAATTCGGTACCCTCTGCTCATACAGAACTCCTCCCTTCACCTTATGTGCTTATGGAGAAACTCCAGCCATCAAGCTCTTTTTCAGTACTATCTTCAGAAATAGAACTTCTAAAGTTGTCTATAGGAGAACTTAAGGCTGAGTTAAGGGAAATAAAAAACAGCAAGTCAGTAAATGCTGGAAACATCGAAACCAATACCGAGATATCCAAATTATCAGATCAGATCAGCGATATCAGATCGCAGGTCTGTGAACTGACACCTCTAACTATCCTCATGAAAACGGTAAACCTTAACAAGCTTGACACAGAATCGGTAACTAAGGTAGATAACCTCATTAACTTTGTTACCACAGAAGTAACAAAACGACTCGACGCAAAACTGAGTGCTATTGTCTACAACGTTCCGGACAATGAGGCACTAAAAAAGGTACAGCGCATCTTACTTAGTGAAGCGAAAATGCCTAACTCCAAGACTAAGTGCTACAGGCTGAAGAAGAGTCAACATGAAAAGTGTTGTCCTATTCGTTTTCAGTTCGAAACACCGGCAGAGACCAGAAAATTCATTCACTCCCAACACACCCTATCGCAAGCCAGAAACTACAAACATATAAAGGTCGGGGTGGAAAAAACAGTTATAGAAAGGCGCGCACACAACTATCTCACTAAGACTAATTGTGAAATAGGTAATAGGACATTGCAGCAAGCCATTATTCCCAACCCTGTGAAAGATACAGTAGACCCCACCGCATCACCCCTCTCAAAACACACAGAAATATCCCATCAGAGTGCAACACCAGCCGAAAGGCCACTAGACTGTAACCAAATAAATAATAAAACCATACCACCCATCACCGCAGAATCTAAAATGCCACTAAATAACCCCAGAAAAAAAGTTAAAACCCCCCGAAATTCGACTTTGTCCTCTCCTAGCTATAATTCCATTGGTAAAGATAAGGAAAATATGCCCCTAAATCATACCAACAAAAACAGTGGCAGCTTAAATAAGCCCACACTCCCCACGGTTAATAGTATTAGCACTCACAACGTGCTAAATCGCACCGTGGCACACACTAATATCCAATGTCACAACGATGTCACCCTAAATAGTACAAGTGGTAATAGTCAGAACTCGGCTACCAACAACTCAGGGTCTTCAGAGTATGGCACACAAACAAATTTCGACCGGATATATGGTACAAGTCTGCTGGGAACTAACCCAAAATGCAGTACACACGAAACCCACACAAGGACACAACTAGCATCAAACAATAGGTGGAATAATAAGCCATGGTCATCACAAGGATCCAATCATTTTTTATCCCCCGCGTCCCTGTCAGCGTTGAAAAAACAGCTGGTAGGGATGTTAACACTCCTAAACCACTAGTGCTGGCTCCCTCCTTGCATGAAAACAGGAACGGTCTAGTGCACCCGTATCCATTGGACACACTTGACACTTGCACAAGTATAGGCCAAATAAAGAACCCTACCCACTTCTGTAACCTAACTAAAAATAAAAGTTCCTTAGTCTATAGCAAATCCAGTACTCCAACTCCTAATTCTCACCGAAAACAGCACACAACAACTCGATAGACATAGGTGAGCATGATGCTGGAACTCCTCTTAACATAGGATCGTCATGTCCAGCAGAACTACTGGGTGCTGAACCATATTCGGGGCTGACTAACGAACTTAAATACTTCAAATGCTACTTCAACTCTCATCTTTACGTAATCCTCATAAATGCTAGATCTGTTCTAAATAAATTGCCGATGCTCAGAGCACTCACAGTAATATACAAACCCCCTGTAATTGTCATCACTGAATCTTGGTGTCATTCGACATCCTGGATGAAGAAATAAGCTTAGATAACTACACACACTTTCGGTGTGACAGGGAAGGTGGTAAGGGAGGGGGTTGTCTCATGTACTTTTTGAATGAACTTACTGTATCACAGCTAGAAAGTAGTACACTTAACATGCCTGAGACTCTATGGGTTAATGTACACTTAAATAACGTAACAGCATTAATTGGATGCTCCTACAGAGCACCTGGCACCTTTAGTAATTACGAGACCCAACTTATTAATACTCTGGAGCAATTAACCGACTTACAATACGATCATAAGATCCTATGTGGGGACTTTAACTTACCTGAAATCAACTGGGATATACCCACAGGTCCAACTAAATTTGATAAGTTCTTAGACACACTGGATATACTTGGCTGGAAACAAACTGTCACTACTCCCACAAGAGGTAACAACGTACTAGACTTAATCTTCTGCCACAATATAAGCCCCCTTTCAACGCTAGTAGGTTCTGAGTTCCCAGGGAGCGACCACAAAACAGTAATGTGTGCACTGCCAATTCCGCTGAGTAGCAATGCATCTCATACCTCCACTTCACAACAAGTAATATATAGGAACTATAGTAAGGCAAACTGGGCCTTAGTAGAATCGATGCTAAGATCCTCCAAATGGGATGAATACTTCACTACTGATGACCTATCGAGAGCCCTAACCATCTTCTACCATAACTCAAACATATGCTTAGATGCTGTCATTCCACTCCAAACACTAAAGGTTTCCCCACACAGAAAGTCATTCATAAAACCAAAGGATCGTAAGAAACTGAAGAAACTCTCAACAAGTTACTTCAAACACCACGACTTTGGCACTCTAGGTCTAATACTTAAAACCCTTAGCTCCATCACACAAGCTCAAGATTTCCGTATGAGAAAGGAAGAACGCATCGCAGTAGCCAGTCCTGCTAGAGTGTATGCACTCACAGAAATCTTAAGGAAGCGAATGAATCGCAAAAATCACAGCATTTCTCTCCTCATAGACAAAGGCAGGCTATGCACTAACTCTGCAGACATATGTGAACTATTCAACAAAACGTTTGCAGGTAACTACCTTAAGCCCTCAGTCCAGCTACTCGATATACACCCTATTACTAAAATGGCACAAACTCCATCTCCACTCACACCAAACCAAATTAGCACTGTTCAATTCACTTACGCTAATATTAACCAAACTATAAGAACCCTCAAAAGTTCAAAAGGTTTCGGTACCGACGGTATATCATCTTACTTCTATAAATATGGTGGCCCTGACATTCCTCTACTACTGCTTAAAATATTCACAATGTCCCTAGAAACCCAAACTTACCCTGACATATGGAAGACTACATTCATTATGCCTAAACACAAATCTGGCTCGAAAACTGAAGTCAGTAACTACCGGCCAATCAATATCACACCTATAGCATCTAGAATCATGGAGAGACTAGTCAAAAATAACCTAATCAAACATATGCTTAGCTGCAACATCATAAGTCCGAACCAACATGGATTCCTGAAATCCAGATCATGTTTAACATGTCACCTAGACTTCTTCAATTTTGTAACCAGCAGTCGTGACAGACGGCAACTAGTACTTGTCATCTACTTTGACATTTCTAAGGCATTTGACCGTGTTGACCATTTACTGCTAACAAATAAACTGAACTCCTTAGGAATACGTGACCCATTATTAGGATGGCTTAAATCATTCCTTAACAATAGGTCCCAAATAGTTAAACTCGGGTCTGCAACCTCCAAACCTAGCCCTATCACTTCTGGTGTAGTACAAGGTAGTGTCATTGGACCCCTCCTATTTACGCTGTACATCAATGACATATGCGCTTGCTTCACGCACGGGAAACCATTCATCTTTGCAGATGACCTAAAAGTAGCTTATACATTCCAGTGTGATGACTTAGGGAACTTCGAGAATGTAGTGCAGAAGGAATTAGATAAAATGACTGCTTGGTCGTCCTTATGGAACCTCCAATTTAATCTGAACAAATGTGGCTGGATCTGCTTCGGTGCACCCTCAATTGACCTGAAATTAACGCTCCAATCTGCTAACCTAACAAGACTCCGAAGTGTCGTTGACCTAGGCTTGAGGTACTCTAGTGACTTGACATTCTCAGAGCAAGTAGCATCACAGACTAGAAAATCGAGGATGCTCTTAGGATGCATACTCAGGAACTTTCACGACAATGAAGCCAAGCTAATTCTGTACAAAACATGTGTCAGACCACTACTAGAATACTGTCCATTTATTATAAGCAGCACTCGCACACGTGACAAGCTAAGGATGGAAAGTATCCAACGATATTTTACCTCAAAACTGCTTGGCTACGATTGTAAGAAAGACTACATCTCACGGTGCATGATCCTAAAACTTGACCCACTTTGGACAAGGCGACTTATTATAAACCTAATATTCTTCTTTAAGGTCCTTCATAAAATATCTTTCTCAGGTAACAGGGACATACAATTCGCACAGGAAGGTTCTTACGATCTGCGTAACCAAACTTCCACAGTGACAACTCATTCTTTTAAGTCAACACTCCGTGAAAACTTCTTCACAGTCATGTATTCTAAAATATGGAATAGCCTACCCCTAGATATCAGAACTTGCTCTTCGGTTACAAGCTTCAAACGCTGTCTATACAGACTGTTGCACTCTACAGATTATATTAATAAACTATTTACTCCTAGAACGAATCAAGCACTAATCTACTACAGCACCTAAAAGACGCACTTCAACACCCTTAGCAATCTAAAAACTATAAATAAACTAGCAGCATGGATGCATAAAGACATAGTACGGAACATACAGGATTAGTCTACCCTTAGAAATAGGACCTATCCCTCATTGTAACCTTCAAACGCTTGCTATATAAACGGTTTTGTCCAAATGACTATCCCTACCAGAACCCATCACTTTTTTCTAAAACGCATCAGTCATTAGAACAATAAAAACGCTCAGACTATTAATACACATTATGACATTAAATAAACTCTAAGACTTCGCATAAATACGTGAAAACGCAGATACAATATAGAAAAATGTTTACTTGAGTATAATTAAGATAAACATTTATAAATGAATCATGTACTAATGTCCTTTTCATGTTCACATACTTTCTCTTTCTGGTATTTTGCTGCTCCTATTCATCTTCTGGTCGAGGTCGAACAACCCTGCATCTAGACTGAAATGAGGATTAATTCCAAACCGTCTATCTCATAACCACTCAAATTCCATGAACAATCCAATTCTACCATTTGAAGACGCTGGCGAACATGCTGTAAATGAGTATTCATGATCTGAAATGAAGAAGCAACTGGTTTTCAAACAACAAGA